ACATTCGTCTCATAGATTTTCTGGTACTAAGTCTAAAGAGTGACTGGACTCCATACCTATCCTTCTTGTAGTTTTTTAGAGCTATCTCTTGACATTTTTTGGCTTTTGCTGATGTCTTGGCTATATTTTTTCTTCCATCTAGCCAGAGTAGCAGCCTTTTCTTTGGCTGGATTAATGGCTAAGGCTTATTTCGCATATTCAGCATTACTGTTTCTAAATTTATCTCTATTCTTGCAGTAATGCTCTCTTTGCTGGTACATAGACTTTTCAAGGTTATCAACATGCGATGTTCTTCTTTCCTCTTGTTTTTTAAAATCACACTGTTTCAAGTACAACCTTAGATGTCAATACGTCACACTTAGTTTTAAAACAATGCAAAGGTAAATTATACAACTCATCGTTCTTGTTTTTAGTTCTGTGCCCTCAAGCAAAGCCGACTTCGGCAGTGGTAGCGTTCGTCCTCACGTAAAAGACTCATGTTTTAGGCACCAACTGCTATGATAAAATTGTTTTGCCCAACAGAGAATCTTCGAGTCTGATGTATAGAGCTAAAACTTCACTTGCAAAGGTTAGATCGTAGTTAGAACCTAGATCTAGAGAATCTATGTAGTCCATGTTTGTTTTTTATCTACCTGATACAGCTGCAACCTGGTCAAGTAAAGCATGCGCATAAGCAGTCGTGCACCCGCACGTGATATGAGGGCGAGTTGTTACTTGGCAACTCACAGAGCATACTTTTAATCATAGAATATTGTTACTAGTGTATTGTAAGCTCGTTAGTAGTGTTGCAAAATGGTTATTGTTATTACCAAGGTTATAAGTAAAACTAAGAAAAATGCTTTCAGCCAAGGTAGCATAATTCAATCTGGTGCATTTAGATTTGCATAAAGTGAAGGCAGGAGAAAGCAATGCCTTTCCAACAACGTTAGTCAGTCTGTCAGTCAGATAGATTGACAAATTTGTTGATTTGTTAAATTGTTTTAATTCTACCGACTTTCTCAAGTACTTTGCTGGCTTGTTACACTGCAGTTGGTTTGTTTACTACTCAACATTGTGTGTAAAGTGTTTATAAAGTTTTATTTACATGAAGTTTGCAGTGTGTTTGAGATTTTTAATTTATATTACACATAGTGCACATCTGACCT